ATTATATGGCCAGGGAATCAATCAGTTATTCGCACAGCTTTAATCTAGGATGGGTGGCTCTCTAATGAACCTGAAGTCTGATTGGCTAGGAGAACTAGTATAAGAACTTGTGACTATAAATGTGCAGCTGAAGACTCCCCTTCATGGACAATACGGGAAAGGAGGGGTAGGACACAAAATCAGAGTTGTTTCTTTTCACGCTGGTGAAGTGCTAACCATTGTTAATAGTGAAAGGGTGTGCTGTGCTGGTCTTTCCTCTCACCACCAATGTAACAAATCACTTCCATTTTAGGCTGCTGAAATCTGTTGTTTATAGCATAAGTCCACTGCTTGTCAGGGAAGGAGAGCTAAGAAAGGACAACACCAAGAAGGCTGAGCTTTTTAATGCCTATTTTGCTTCAGTCTTCACTAATTGGGACCAGATGTTTAATACAAGCTTCAATAGGGAAAGGACTGGTTAAAGAATATTTTAACAAGCTAGATGTAGGCAAATCAGCAGAACCTGATGAAATTCACTCCTGGGGCATTTAAGAAACTAGCTGAAGCAATCTCAGAACCATTAGTGATTATCTTTGAGAACTCCTGGAGGATGGATGAGGTCCCAGATGACTGGAGAAGGGCAAACATAGTACTGATCTTTAAAAGGGGTAACAAAGAGGACCTGGGAATTATAGACCAGTCAGCCTAACTTTGATTCCTGGAAAGATACTGGAACAAATTATTAAATGATCAATCCTAACTGGTTGAAAACTCACACTCAGAGAGTAGTTATCAATGGTTTGCTGTCAAAGGGCAAGGACGTATCTAGTGGAGTCCCACAGGAGATTGTCCTGGTTCCAATACCAGTCAATATTTTCATTAATGACTTGGATAATAGAGTTGAAAGTAGGCTTATAAAATTTGTGGATGACACCAAGCTGGGAGAGATTGCAAGCACTTTGGAGGACAAGATTAGAATTAACGATGACTTTGAAGAATTGATCTTAAATCATCAAGATTAAATTCAGTAAAGACATACAAAGTACTACACTTATGAAGGAAAAATCAAATGAACAACTACAAAATGGGGAAATAACTGACTAGGCTGTAATACCGCTGAAAAAGTTCAGGGAGTTATAGAGGATCACAAATTGAGTGTGAGCCAACAATGTGATGCAGCTGCGAAAAAGGCTAATATTCTAGGGTATATTAACCAGAGTGTTGTGTGTAAACCTGGGGGCTAATTGTCCTGCTCTACTTGGCACTGGTGAGGCCTCAGCTGGAGTAATGTGTCCTTTAAGGAAGATGTGGACAAACTGGAAAAGAGAGTCCAAAGAAGAGCAACAGAAATGACCTATGAGGAAAGTAAAAAAAAATGGGCAAGTTTAAACATAAAAAAAAAAAAAAAAGACTGAAAAGTAACCTGATAAACAAATATGTTGTGGTCTGATATAAAGGAGACAGTCATTGATTGTTCTTCATGGCCACTGAAGGTAGGACAAGAAGTAATGGGATTAATCTGCAGCAAGGGAGATTTAGGTTAGATAAAAAGTTTTTCCCAATAGCTCTAAGGTTAGTTAAACACTGGAATAGGCTCCTAAGGGAGGTTGTGGCATCGCAGTCATTGGAGGTTTTCAAGAACAGGTTAGATAAACACCTGTCAGGGATGGTCTAGGTTTACTTGGTCATTCCTCAGTGCAGGGGACTGGACTAGATGACCTCTCGAGGTCCCTTCCAGCCCTAATTTCTAAAATTCTATTATTAGGGCCCTAGTGTCTGTATTTGCAATGGGAAAATGACCATTTAGCATAGCAAATGAGATGACCTAACTATCTTTTGTAGTAAATCATAAATTTTCTTGTAGCTAAAATCATACATGGGGCAAAACCCAGTTACAGTCTGTGAATAAAAGCACAGTTTGGTATTCATGAAATCTATACATTAGTTAAAAAGCTAATTACATTTAAAACATATATCAATTAATAGAAATATCATCCCTTCATTAATGACCAATAACCCAAGGACTCCTCCTGTAAGGAGTACAAACTCTGGCATAAAGCTGAAGAAATCCAAATAGAAATGGCAAGTTTTGTGGTAAAGATATGAAATGTAGGTTCCTTATTTTTTCTGCCATAAAAATATGTGCAGGGAGCCTACAAAGAATATATATTTTTCACTGATAATATACTTTCATGGTCTAGAAAGCTCAGTTTACATACATTTTTTATATAACTCATAAAGCTACTCTGTATCACACTGTGAAAACATCTGTTTTTGGAAAAATCATTAACAATTCCTGTAATGATTTGCAGCCTTCTGAACTCAGCAGGGCCACCCTCAGACAACTCCTGAGCCCAAAAGACGTTTGAAAATTCTGGGCATTGTTATGCTATCCAGCTGACTGACAGTCTTGACTCCCAGGTTCTAGTTTTAATTTTCACAAAGTCACTGTTTGACTTGTCACCTTGGGCAAGTCACTGAGGCCACTTTCAAACTTGAGATCAACATCTTTATTTAATTAGCTAAGACAGCGGCCTGATGTGCAGAGGTGTTGAACATTCACAGATCCCAGAACCATACAATCAGTGTAATGAGATCTACCTGCCTCACAGGTATGTGGTGTGAGGCTTTTAGACCCTTGGATGAAAGGCAGCCTATCAATGCAAATTACTATTTTTACATGCAAACGTTTATCTTCTGCTATCCCCGTCCCTCTTTCCACACTTCTGTTCCCCCCTCCCCAAATAGCAAAAAATGTTAAGAAAATGCAGTGGCTCTGTGACTGACAGCAGGAGCCACAGAGTGGGGCAGATTGCAAGAATCTGCAGGTTCCACGCATGCTTGAAGTTTCCACTCATCAGAGATGAGGAGAGTTATAACAAACGTTTCAGCAATACTGTATGAATAAATTGCCCTGCTGCCTCTGCCATCTCAAAACTAATCTGAGTAGTGGGAATCCATCTTAGTTCCTCCTGAATGTCCCTATTGACCACCCTGCTGAGAGATCTCTACATTGCTATCCACAGGCATAGGACTTGATTGGCCTAGCAGGAGCTTATTTTCATACTAAGTGACTCTGGGACTGTTTTTATAGCAGAAGTCATGATTCTTAGCTGTCAGATCTAGCACCACAGCCCCTACCATGCCTCTTCTGTACCTCTATTAAAGCTGCAGTATTCATGTAGATGGGTGGCAAATCACCTCTGAGCTGACTTCCTCTCCTACGTGGTCCATATGTAAGCAGAGTCAGGATGAGCTCTACCCTGACATCTGGTGGTGAATTATGGCGAGTGTGGAAAAGAACTCCAGGGGCTGATCTTGTTTGCATAGGCACACCCACTCGCCTGGCATGAAACACAGCAACTGAAAGTGGTTACTTTGGCTGGTGTGGGATCCCCAGTTTCTCTGGAAGAATAAAGTTTTGTTACCCTGATTCTGTGAATCAAGGCCAGTGGAACTGTTGTATGACAGAAGGACTGAGTGAGTCCTTCACCATTACCTAAGTAGCACTTGCTTGACAAGGGGCATGGGTTACAAAACCCAGTGAATTGAGAAAGGATGGGGACAGGTATTTGTACCTGATGGTATGGGCCCCCTCTGAGGGTTTGAAACACCAATTGCACCGTCTCCTCTCTCCAGTGTTGAATGTCAGAGCTAACTTTGATTCCCTTAGGAGTCTAGTTACAGGCTGCTGAGCTGAATTCACTTGGGGCCAAGGGTGCACCAGCACTGGGGCTCCCCTACTATACTATAAGCTGAAATCACAAAAGAGCTGAGATCACTGAGTGCTGTGTTAACTAGTGGGGGAGCCTGAAGCTATATTGCTCAGCAGCTGGCGGAGCAATTTGTGGGGACGACTGGAGGAGCAGCGAGCGGTGTGGAGCCTTGCGGGGCCGGTTGGAGTGGCCCAAGGAATGGCGAGCGGAGCTGTTTGCGGGGACGGCTGGAACGGCTCACAGGTCAGTGAGCGGAGTGGAGCAGCTTGTAGAGCGGAGCAGTTCGTGGGATGGCAGGAAAGTGGACTGGCTCGTGGTAAAGGCTGCGGCGGAACCCCACGGAGAAACAGACGGCTGGCCAGCCTCGGATCATGTAAGGTGCCCCTTAACACCCTGTGTGCCCCCCCCCCTTTTACTCTGGGGCTGTACTGACCAGGGACAGAGACTTTGGGGGTTGTGGGACTTTTGGGACTTTGGGTGGTTGCTGGACCCAAGAGACTTTGGGGGTGTGGGACTCTGGGTGATTTTTGGGTTGCTGGATTCAAGAACCAAAGGGAAAGGACACAGCCCCATTTGCTGGGGTGGGTTTTGCTCATGGTTTGTGTTATGAATCCTGTTTGTGGTGTTTTTCCAATTTTATGCTGATGTCGTTTACCTCATGTTATTAAACATTTTCTGCTACACTCAGACTCCGTGCTTGCGAGAGGGGAAGTATTGCCTCTTAGAGGTACCCAGGGGGGTGGTATGTAATTGTCCCAGGTCACTGGGTGGGGGCTCGAGCCGGTTTTGCATTGCGTTATTGAAACGGAACCCCTAGATACAGAACCCGGCCCTTGTTGCTGCCAACTAGATGGGCAGAAGGGTTACACATACATGGAAGCAGGGTGGGGAGAAAAATCTTCCCGCACCTTATGAAAGCTTCTATTGGTCCCACACATAGGACTGGGAGCTCCCTAACCCTTCAAAGTCAGGACCCAATGGCTCCATGCATGACAGAAGGTTTGCTGGGTTCAGCACTCTCCCCAGCTTTCTGCAGCACATGCTTTCCCACCAACTGCTGTCAAATAAGGGACAATACAGGGGAACATTCTGTTAAAAAAATAAAATAAAAAAAAAAATCACACAAAACAGGGTTGATGTGTAGCAAAGGCCCTGCTTTTGGCTGCTTACATAGGAACAGAATACACACACAGTGATAGAACCATGATATTAGCAGTAACATAGTCATTCTGGGAATATAGTTACCTCCCAAAGAAAAAACAGGTTGAAATTTAACAAATGAGAAGTTTTTCTTTTTTTTATATATAAAGGAACAGACTCCAGGAATCACTGACTTTTGTTAACATTTCCTTTGTCAAAAACCCAGTTTTTGGTCCATAAGAAAATTCAACAATGATTTTGAATAAAAAAACATTGAAAAATAGGTCTGTTTCAAACCTGCAAAATTGAAAGTATTGCAAAAAAATTAAATTTTGAAGCTTTTTTAAAAATCAGCTCTAGTTATTGCTAATATACTCTGGGCCAAGTTGCCCTGTTAAACTTTTATTGCATCCTGTATCCATGCTTCTCTATGCGTAGTGTGTGTCACTGTGCAGAGCTAGTGCAGCTGGGTAATGCTGGCAGATTTGTAGAATCACCACCAGTTTTCTCACCACCTAGATTAGCCTGGGAGAGGGGATAAAAGAAGCACCTGACCAGACTGGTTGGAATAGAGCTCCAGGAGGGCCACCATACACTTTTGGCACAGTGGTGGCACTACTAGATCAGAATGATCTCTGGCAGCATTTAATTTCTTCCAGGAAGGAGGAACCAAGTACAGCACTTGATAGCAAGATTGGGTGTCTTTCCAAAAGGTATGCTGTAATTCAACCACAAGCCGTTGAACTAGATTCAGGAGCTACTGGGTGAAATTTGTGGCTTGTGTTGTGCAGAAGGTCAGACCGGACAACTATAATGGTCCCTTGCTGGCCTTAATCTGTGAATTCGTGAACACAGAACTCCTCTCTACCATGTGAAGCAAGAGAATTAGACAATCTATGGTGGCTTTATAGGGCAAGAATAAAGAAAACTTGTGTTTAAGCCCTAGAAAGAAATGTATTGCCTTATTATTTTGCTAGACTACGTGATGTTTTTAAAAAGTAAAATGTGAAGAAATACCTTCCCAGCAGTCAGAGTAAGACTTTGCAGAGTAGCTGTCGTGTTAACATAGCTTTGCTTTTTTGTGTTACTCTGCTGTTATAAATGTTTGGTTCAATTAACTAAAGTCCTTTAAAGCAATTACTAGAATGACAACATTCACTCATTAAAGCATATTAAGATCTGTAGTGCCTATTTTTGCAGCTGGTAAATTTTGGCTCTTCAAAAGTTAATGCTGGACTTGCTCACGACGGGCACCAGAATGCATTGCTTAGATGGGGCAAGCAGGATAATTTTCATCTGGCTTTATCTACAGAGAAACAAGGAAGACAATATGATATAATCTTTCAAAAGACAGACTCGCTACTTTGCCATTTGTCTCCCAAAGTGGTAATAACAGAGGGAGAGCACTAAGAACTGGAAAGAATGATTACAGCTCCCTTGCTCTGTTGCAGCTTTAGCCTTTGTTGCTGTCTGTTACAAGAGTTCTCTCCCTTATGACAGAGGAAAACAAATAACATGCTGTTCATTGTTGCTCTGGATGAAGCTTCACACTGCTGGAGACGTTCACAGAACCATAGAAATTAAAGATAGAAAAGATAAGTCCATAATCCTGCCATTGCAGGTTTGTTCCCAGCAGTATATTTATTCATTAGTGCCTTCTATAGCTGCGTTTTACGTGAGGCAAGTAATGGAGCTTGTTCCCTGTCCCTTGGGATACTGTTCCACAGGCTAGCAGACCTCACTATTAGCAAATTTCTCCCCCAGTCTTCAGCCTAAGTTTTCCTTTGCTTACTTTCATCTGATGACTCCTACATGCCTGGCCCATCTACAATTATTCCCCTGCCACGGGGCATACACCTTTCACATACTTGTTGTTTGTGGTCATTTTGCCCCCTCGTTACTGTTTAGTGAAACTATAACTTTTTAAAAATTTCTTTCTGAGTTGATCCCTTCTGCTTCTTAAACACTTAATGGCATTTTTCTGTAGGAAAGAAAATATGTGACCAATACCCTTCTAGTGGAGCCCATCTTCCTTGAGGCAAAGGTGCTGAAGTAGTGCTGTAGTAGTCACCATCAAAAAAATGACATTTACCAACAGTTGCCACAAGCGGTATCTGAAATAAACCTGCATTGCTCTGTTTAGAATAGGGAATAACAAAAAGAACTGTAACTTAGATACTAAGGTGTGGTAAGTTGGTTAATGCAACTCACTTTACTAATGCACATTGTACAAGTGTGTCTACCTAGCATGCTTACTAAAGAGTATGAAATGTATATCATCATAATTAATACTGGGCAATTACACAGTGTCTTCACTCACCAAAGCATTTTATACACAAACATACCCATTAGGTAGGTAGGGCCTTCTTATGCCTTTTGAATATATGGGGAAACTGAGACAGACAAGTTAAATGATTTGCACTAAGTCATACCGTGAGTAAGAAGCAGAACTGGGGATGGAGAAGATTCCTGCTCTGTCACTGGGGCTGCACTGCCCTATTATCATAGTCAGTCAGTCGATATTAACTTCTTTCTTCCGTCTTGTATCTTCTGAGTCAACTAAAATGTCTCTGACATGGTGCTCATCTGTCTCTTCTGACAGAGGTTTATGTGCTTGCCAGAAACATTATAGCCCTTGGCGAGTGTATTGACTATGAAACAGGGGGGCTGGTAACATTCTTTTTTTTTTTTTTAGCTCATTTCACTAAAAAAAAAAATCGGGTTATTTCAAAATTTTCTGTAAAATTCTGTGTTGGATTTTAAGCCATTCTGTATTCAGATTTTGTTACTGCTTCTTTTGCTATCTCAGACCTTTTCTACACTACCGGGGTAAGTCGACCTAAGTTATGCTACTCCAGCTACGTGAATAACGTCGCTGGAATTGACGTAACTTAGGTCAACTTACTGCAGTGCCTACACCGCGCTGCATCAATGGGAGATGCTCTCGTTCTGGTGGAATACCGGAGGCAACCGGAGAGCGCTCTGCGGAGATCCACTAAATTGACCCTGCTGCATCGATTGCAGCAGCGTCAATCCCCGTTAAGTGTAGACATGGCCTCAGACATAGCTCCTTAAAAAGGGGTGTGTTATCTCAGCAATGGACTCAGCTCAACTTTTTCATTGTTCCTCAGATTCAAGTTTCATTCAAGCACTTAATTCATCCAGGCTCCAGCTCAGTTATCCCATCGGATTTCCTCTGTTTGAAGCTTTCATCAGCAAAGGTCTCCCAAGCATGGGCTATAGAACCTGCCATATGTTTTCATCAAAATTAAAGATACAGGGCACCCACTCTCCAGGAGTGTTCAGCCCACATGAACCTGTCACATACAAGAGGGGTTGCAATATTTGTTCTGCATATTTTCAGAAAGGTGCAGAAAGGAAAGTAGGAAAGAGTTACCTGGGAGAGCCACACTTTAGGGATACGTCTATTTTCCTCCCCTGCTGGACTGGACTGAGCCCACTTCTCCATATGGTGCTCGCTCAACAGGGACAGGCTGGCAAACCTATAAGAGAACAGTTCAGTTCTTTCTTATTTGTTTCCCTCTGCATTTGCAAATTGCACACAACCGAAATAGAAGCCTGTTATTTCCTAGCTCCGTATTTTATGCCTCACAACATTTTCAACATCTCTCTTGAAAATCCCAACCTACAGTATTTCAAAGTGCCCAAGAGAGTCTGACACTCAACTCCTATCAACCTTTAATTGGGGTTGGTTGGCTAACTCCCTTAAATGCGGTTGAAGCCATTTTTAGGAACAACTGGCCTTCTCCCATCTCATTTTACTGTCACTCCCCTACCACTCCCAGCCCGTAATCTAAACAGAGCCTAGAGTGTTGGGGGATCTCTCAGTAATTAGTCAATGTTGCTCTGACTACAGGCAAGACAAGTGGGTGCATAACAGGGATACAAGATGTCCCCTCCCCTGCAGATCTGCACACCACCCCTCCAGCATTTCTAGCTCTTGTCGAAAAGAGATCAAGTTTGGTTGAAGTCACTTGTAAAGACATTTGCTCTTCATGTTTTGTTTAGGGAAAATTCTCCCTAGTTCTTTCTGATGGGAAATGTAAACTGGCACAGTTACTGTAGTCTCAGAAATCCTGTGACTGCCAAGTCTGTCCTTAGTTCAATTGTGAATTTGCCTCTGAAAAGATACATACAGTCCAGTTTTGTTCTTTTGTTTTTCCAGTGCCACAACTAATCTCAATCCCATGTGCGGGTTGCTGCTTTAGCCATAATACCAGAATCTGGATGTAATGGTGTTCTGATACCAAGGCTCAGCACTGCTGTGGAGACCCACTAAATGAGCCTCTCATTACGTATTAAATAAATCATGGACCTTTCCCAGACGTGTAGATGAACATCCTGTGTATTTGCTGATGTAATATGGCTCCAGAAATGGTTTCAGTAGTAAACTAGCATTAGCATTAAATGTCATTTATTTTGCATTAGAAACCCACAGAGCCAAAGATAAACAATGAAGACAGAGTACTAGTAATAAAGTGCCCTGGCTTGCAAAGTGCTGAATATTTCTAGCTTCCAATGAAATCAGTGGAATTCAGGGCACACTGCACCTTGCCGGTGATGCTCAACACCTCGCAGGATTGGGCCAAAGGTGACAGTTGTTAAGCAGAGCTGTGGAAAAAGCTTGACTACTTTAGGAATGTTTGAGAAAGTACAATATATAGATGCATTATGTAAAGCAGAGGTTCCCAAACACAAAATTCTTATAAACATTGAAAGGGGAACATAATGTATACAAGAACCTGGGGAGATGTTTAAATGAAGGGCTTGATTTCAAGGCAAATATCAGGCAAAGAATCAAGAATACTCTGGGTCAGATCCTCATTTGGTGTAGATCGAGATCACTCCATTTTACCCAATTGACACCAATCTATACCATCTATATAAGAACGGTATAGGATCCAGGCCTTCTTTTTCATTTGTGAAACTAAACAAACAGTAATCTTTTAATTCTCAGTAAAAAGAATATATGTTTTTAGGAGGTTGGCAGAGAGAAAAAAGCATTTTGTAACCCTGTTTGTATTATGTATGTTAATTAGCAGGCAGGCTACCAATTCCTACAGGAAATGCGTTTACAGAGAGGAAGTCAGTTGGAAGAGAGAGAGAGAGAGAGAGAGAGACCTACTTAACCTTTGGCGCATATATTTCATCAGGCCAGCAAGGGGGAAGTACTGGAGCAAACAATATGCCCAATTAATTGGTTTGGAAACATTTCAAACAGCAAAAAGCTCACACGTATGTTGATCTGTTTCAGCGCTAAGAAAGTGTTATGAATATTATTGATTCAGGGCAGGATTTTCAAAAGCACCTAAGTGCTTTAAAAGTACAAGTCACTTGGGTGTTTTTGAAATCTCCCCCCACCCCCAGAGTCAGCAGTGCTAAGACAGAAAAAATATTTCTCATGGCCAGTACATGACCAGTGAACAGGCATAAAATAGTCAATCTAAGTGTTTCACAGATTTCCTCCTTTAGTAATTTAGACACTGAGAACTTGATCATGGAAAATGCTGAGCATCAGTTTGATCCAGCAAAGCATTAAGCACATGCTTAACTTTAAGCATATGTGTAGTTCCACTGCTGGAACTGCATTACTGGATCATAGAATCATAGATATGTAGAACTGCTAAGGACCTCGATAGGTCATCTAGTACAGTCCCTTGCACCAAGGCAGGACTAAGGATTATCTAGACCTGACAAGCATTCATCTAACCTGTTCTTAAAAATCTCCAATGACAGAGTCCACAATGTCTCTAGGTAATTTGTCCCATTGCTTAATCTGGTCCTCCAATGAGCTTGCAAACCCTCCCAGCTTGGTATTGTCTGCAAACTTTATGAGTGTACTCTCTATGCCATTATCCAAATAATTTATGAAGATATGGAATAGACCCAGACCCAGGACAGATCCCTGCGAGACCCCATTTGATATGCCCTTCCTGCTTGATTGTGAACCATTGATAACTGCTCTAAGTAAACTTTTCCAACCAGATGTGCACTCACCTTATAGTAAATTTAACTAGACTATATTTCCCTAATTTGTTTATGAGAAGGTCATGTGAGACAGAATCAAAAGCCTTACTAAAGTTGAGATATATCACATCTACTGCTTTCCCCTTATCCACAAGGTTGTTACCCTGTCAAAGAAGGATTTTAAGTTGGTTTGACATGATTTGTTCTTAATACATGCTGACTGTTTCTTATTTTCTTCTACATGCCTACAAATTGATTGTTTGCTCCATTATCTTTCCAGATACCGAAGTTAAGCTGACTGGTCTATAATTCCCTGGGTTGTCCTTATTCCCTTTTTTTATAGATAGGTGCTATATTTGCCCCTTTCCAGTCTTCTAGGATCTCTCCTGTCCTTCATAAATTCTCAAAGATAATCACTAATGACTCAGATCTCTTCAGTCAGTTCCTTAAGTATTCTGGGAGGTATTTCATCAGGCCCTGCCAACGTGAAGACATCTCGCTTGTTTAAATTATTCTTAACTTGTTCTTTACCTATTTGAGCCTCAAATCCTACAGTCTTCAGCACCTTGCAGGATTGATCCCCAAATATCTAACTATGAAAGAGCTAGAAAATTGCTGATATTTTTTCACAATTTAGGATCTCATTCTGTGAGGTGCTGAACATCTATAACTTCTGTTAAGTCAATGGCGATTACAGGTGCTCAGAGCTTTTCATGATTAGATCAGTGTGACCACCTGTACAATAAATGGGACCAAGATTTCAAAGGCACATGATCCCAACCTCCAACTTACACTGATATACCTGAGAACTGGAGTTAGCCCCGGGTGTTTGTGTGTGAAAAGAGGAAGAGCAATAAAACTCCAACCTACAGGTTCACTTTCTCCAGTCTGGGCACATTTTGATCAAAAAGGAAAGTAAAAAACCCACAAAACCCCACCCCCCCCCCCCCCCCAAAAGCTAGTTTTCCTCATATTGCACAAAGATTGCAAGCACTACAGCAATGTATTGTTTTAATTAACCTCATCCCGCTGCTTGATTCTTTTGTAGACATATTCAGGGAATGGTTTACGTGTAATGT